TTATGGACCTGTGTGCCTACAGTGTAAGTATTCTCTTTCTCTCTTTCTTTCCAGTAAATGCAGAAACACCAGTTCAGAATAGAAGTGATACCCACCTATCTTTTGAGGGTTTCGTTTTTTGTTTTGTTTTGTTTTGTTTTTTACCATTTAGTTTGAGAGAGACAGAGGACCATTATGCACAAGTGGATGACAAGAACAACTTTGAGAGTTCATATTCTCATGTGATCATGGGTTGAATGCCAATCATCAGTCTTGGTTATGGGAGCATTTACCTACTGAACCATGTTGCCAGGCTTAAAGTTACTTTTTTTTTTAACCTTTATATGTTTTAGTTTGATTTTGTAATTTTAATGCCGTGATATGAGTAGCGCTTTGCTAGCATTTTCTTCTCTCTCTTTTTCTTTTAAAGCACAAAACTTTGACAAAGTTTTTAGCCATTTTTTAACTGTCCTTGATTTTGTCTTTGCAAAACCAGATCAATGGTAAACAAGGAGAACTTTCTTGAGTCATGCCTCTTAATTCATTTGTATTTCACCTCGTATAATACAGGGTGACTTTTAGCTGATTAAAATCAACACTCATATTTTATTCATGCTATCAGCATTTTTTATCATAATAAAATGTTCATTTATCTATACTGAGATATTAGGGTATAAATCTGTAATGCTTACCCTCACTCAGAAATGTCTCCTTAGCCGGCTAGCTATTAATTGAGATTCAGCTGCAAGTATTACCTATTCTGAAAAATATTGTTGGCATAGAGAAAATAGATGGCTAAATAAGAATGTTTTCTCTTTTTTTGGTTTTATGAGACTGTGTGCGTGCGTGCGTGCGTGCGTGCGTGTGTGTGTGTGTGCTTAGCCCTGGCTGTCCTGAAACTTGTTCTGTAGACGAGGCTGGCCTCAGATTCATAGAGATGCACCTGCCCATGCCCCTCAAGCGCTGAGATTAGAGGTGTGCACCCCACACCTGGCATGAATGCTTTCTTGAATACATGAAATTGATGTCACATCCACACCACGGTTTGGATCGTGACTAAAGGATTTCTTTCAAACTTGAAGTTTGAGATATCAGCAACCTTGAACATAAAATGTCACAGATCCCCACTGTGTCCGTTGCTTTTGTTTAATAGAGAAGGTGCCCACTTGTGAATATTTAAAACTGAAGTAATATCACATTTTTCTAATATTCTAAGTTATTTTAAAAAGATGTTTGTCAACCTTGGTGCTTTTTAGATACCTTTTTTGTTTTTAGATATAGGTCCTAATATCAATTTGTTGATAAATAATTATTGGAAAATTGTCTAAAGAGAGGAGCAAGCCACCTATAGAATAACTTCATGTTGATAAAATTTTAGTGTCTGTCATTACTAAGTGTGAAAAGAAAAGGCACCTTAGCTCTCCATAGTGCTCTTATCAGTAAGCCAGGCTGCCAGTCTGCAAAGGTGATGAATAGGGTGTGTACAGAGCACTCTTCAAAAACAAAACCATTTCTTTCTAAATCCTTTCTTTGAAGAGCTGCAATACAAACTGTGACACATTTATCAGTCTGTTTATGGAGTGTCCCATATGGGGACAGTTATTGTCCTAATGAAAGCAGAAGTTTATAATCCACAATCTTTTTACCAGTCATTGTTTCTTCAAAGTATTACTTCAATGTGAGATCATGATGCAATTTTATTTTAGAGGAAATTTGTTCCTGTTTTTCCCTTTTATTGAAAAGTAGACATTTTTCTCACATAATATATCCTGATTATGGTTTCTCCTCCATCAACTCCTCCCAGTTTCTCCCACCTCCACTCCTGTCCAGATCAACCCTTTTTCTGGCTCTATTAGGAAAAAAAGGCTTCCACAGGATAATAGTAAAATAAAATAAAACTAAAACACCAAAATAGAACAAAGCAAACAAACAAACAGAAGGAAAAAAAACCCAAGAGAAGATACAAGATACATACACAGGAAAGACACAGATGCAGAGCCCCACTTGTTTGCACTCTTAGGAATCCCATAGAAACAATAAACTGGAAGCCATATACACAAAAGAACTGTAGAGTAAAAGGAGAGAAAAAATAAAAATATATAAGATTTTTTTTTAAAAGGGAGGGGAAGCTCTTGACATGACATGAGACAAGCAATTTCCAAAGATACCACTGAGTTCATTTTCAGTTAGCCATTTACTGTTGAGCCTGCATCCTACCCTTAAGAGTAGTTTGTTTTCCCAGTGAGACTCCCTTGGAGAAAACTAAGTTATCTATTCCTAGGTTGTAGGATATCTATGTTCTTCCCAGTTTCTAGCTATTAAGAATAGAGAAGCAATAAACATGATTGAGAAAATATCTCTCAAAGGATGACACATCCTTTTGGGTATATGTTCAAGAGTGGTGTAGCTGGATCAATTCCCATTTTCCTGCAACAGTGATGAACACAGTGCCTATATGGTTTGCACGCCCACCAGCAATGGATAAATGTTCCCCTTACCATACATCCTTACCAGCATGAGCTGGTACTAGTTTTATGGCTCTTAGCCATTCTGGTGGTGCTAGATGAAAGTAGTTTTGATTTGCATTTCCCTAACGACTAAGAATGTGGAACATTTACGTGTTTCTCAGCCATCGAGTTAGCATGACTGACATATAAACTAAGAAGGTTTGCCTATGAAATGGGAGGAGGTCATCTCCCTAGGACCACAGTTATCCAGAAACAACAACAAAACAATGTGTTTATTTTAAATTGTAAGAGAGGTGTGGGTTATTTTGTAGATTATAGATACTGTTTATGCTTTCTGCTCTCAGAAATCCACTGACACATAATAGAAGGTAGAATTTGGGAAGAAGGAAGCAAAATGGCTACCTTTCTCATTCCAAAGCCGAGATACTTAGAACACAGACTTAAACAGTGGTGAACACGTGCTTCCTCGGTGGCTCTGTCAATAATCCTCTATGTGGTGTGCTTCCTCAGTAATTCCTGTAGGAATTACTTCTTCCCACAGTAATTTTTCTAGCCAACAATTCTGGTACTAAGCTTTCCTTTCTCAACAGGTCTGAGAGACATTCATTACATTTCTCTTTATTTAAAACAAGGTAAAAATTATTCAAAGCACTTGGTACCACATTAGATACATTGTAGGCATACAACTTATTCATCAAAGTAACATATATTTGCGTATTAGTAAGAACATTTCATGGACTCTGAAATAGCCCGGTTCAGTATACACCTTAGCTTTGTCATTGACTAGCTGTGCAGCCTTTGGCAAGTTTTCTCGCCCTTAACACACAAATGATATAACATTTCCTGCTTTATGAAATTAATTTGTAAATATCACACACATTTATATGCTCAAAATAATTTTTAAAATATCTGAATATTACATCTTAATAAGGATTGTATACCTTTGTTTATGAATATACTATTTCAAGCTGGAAGACTGAAGCATTTTCCAACCATTGTATTTACCACAATTGGAGCTGTGGATCGATTTTCAAGCTTTGCTTCACTGTGTGACAAAACAATGACAGTTTGAACAGTTTGATAAAAGAGGGCTTTGTGCTACGAGCTTAGATTTTCTCTCAAATGCCTGCAGCTCAGAAACAGTGAGAGTTCAGAGCCGAGCTTCAACAAAGCTGGGAAAAATGAGAATTCCAAATCATTTATCTGTAGTTTCTATAGAAAGCATTTTGAGAGCCAATTGGCTTGAACCAACTAACCTGTGTTTCTTCAAAAACTGCCAAAGCATCAAATGTTATCTTCCTATATAAAAAGTGAAAGAGCAATTTCAATTAATATTGTACATTAGAGCATATGAAATTAATCAATGGAAGATGTCAAGTCCAAAAGAAATAGTGAACAACAACAAAAATAAAATCATAGCCATCACCAACAATGTGATAAACATAAATTTATAAATAATCCAATCATTATGGTTTTTATTTCCATCTTGGCTTTTATGTTCATCTTTCCTATCAAATATAAGGAAAGAAAGAAAAAATGGAGGGAGGTAAAGTTTGAATATTGTCATTTTTATAACACTATATACAACAAACTTGAAGTCTATCTCATACATTTGAAAAGTTATCCTTTCTTGATCATAACCTTGTCTGTCTAGCTGAAATCTTGGGAGACACATTAAAAGCATAAATGTTCTCTAGCGTGGACTGGCAATTTAAAAACAAGCATGTTTTTTTGTAGCTGCAATAATAAAATATTTTCTTAAAATAGAAATGGGTGCAAAATTAGCAATGTTAATTTTATGACTTCATTATCAAGTGCTTTCAGAACAGCTTTCATGACCCATGTTTTCAAAGAGTTGTGTCCTTACTGTAGGGGAGTTTTCATGTTTATAAAAGATTGCTTGATTTTTTTGATCATTACTGTAATAACTGAATGTTTCATTTCTGACTTGTAGGATACTTGATTTATTTTTATTGTTTCAGCTCCTGTTATATTTATCTAAGAAAACACTAATGTAGCAATAAATAGAATTTTTATTTTAACTAATTCTTATAAAATTTATGCTGATTAAAATTACAAAATATAATTGGGGGAATTAGAAGCTACACTTATTCACATATTTTATAAAGTTTATCACCCTATAATATGTATAAATAATGTTCATTTTGCATCTCATGGTTTGGCTCTAAAAAACCATTAAATATAAAATTCACTCTCATTTTATATTCCCTTGTCAGAAATGATTGCAAAATAAATTATGCCAATATAAAATCATAGTGTTGAACTGTGTGTTTATAAAGAGATCTCTGATTTCTTTAGACATGTTTCACTTTGTGGCAATCTTGTTAACATAGTAAAAGTTACAAAAGCGAGCATCTCCTAGATGCTGCTAGGCAGGCTCCACCCTCTGCACCCTAGACCCTTGTGAAACACAGCCAGGACCTTGTGCTCCAGGCTCCGCCCCTTTGGAACGCCGCACGGCCAGCTGGGAGGGCTTCCTCCCAGCCTGTTGATGAGCCGACTGCAGCAGGCTTAAGGCCTACTAGAGTGGAGCCAAGTAAGATGGCGGTGCGGATGATGAAGACCGTGCAGGCGGTTCATCTTGAGTCTGACGCTTTCCTGGTTTGTCTCAGCCATGCCCTGAGCACAGAGAAGGAGGAGGTGATGGGTCTGTGTATAGGGCAGTTGAATGATGATGCTAGGAGTGACTCCCAGCATACTTACGCTGAAACTAAAACGTGCACGATAGGGGAAAAGATGGATGCCGTCAGAATTGTTCACATTCGTTCCGTCATTATCTTGCGACGTTCTGACAAGACAAAGGACAGAGTAGAAATTTCTCCAGAGCAGCTGTCTGAGGCTTCGATAGAGGCAGAAAAGTTGGCTGAAGAAACAGGTCATCCCATGAGAGTTGTTGGCTGGTACCATTCCCACCCTCACATAACCGTTTGGCCTTCTCATGTTGATGTCCGTACACAAGCCATGTACCAGATGATGGATCAAGCCTTTGTAGGCCTGATTTTTGCTTGTTTCATAGAAGACAAAACCACAAAGACTGGTCGGATACTCTACACTTGCTTCCAGTCCGTACAAGCACCAAAAAGCTCAGAATATGAGAGACTGGAAATCCCAGTCCATATTGTGCCTCATACCACCATTGGAAAAGTATGCCTTAGATCAGCAGTAGAGCTGCCGAGGATCCTATGCCAGGAAGAACAAGATGCCTACAGGAAGGTTCATGGCCTTACACATCTGGACCCAGTCACCAAGATCCACAATGGCTCTGTATTTACCAAGCATCTGTGTAGTCAGATGTCCGCAGTCTCTGGGCCTCTACTACAGTGGTTGGAGGACAGACTAGAGCAAAACCAGCAGCATTTGCAGGAGTTGGAGCAAGAAAGGGAAGAAGGCCTTATGGAAGAGCTGCCTTCTCTAGAATAAATCAGGAGGACAAAAATGGGCAAATGAAAATACCTGGCCTATAATTTATAAACTTAATTGATTTTGAAGAAGATAAAGTTGTAGGACTCACATTACATAACTCCAAGACTTGTTATAAAGTTGCAGTAATGAAGACACTATGGTACTCACAGAAGAATAAACATATATACCAATGGTTAACAGAAAAGAAAATCCAAAAATGAACCCACCATAATATGCCTGACTAATTTTGACAAAGAATAAAAGTGATTCAAGGGAAGAAAGGCAGTCATTTTGGCAAATTGAACGTCTTCAACAAAATCTAACAGTACTTCCAGAACATTTCATGGATTTAATGTAAGATGGAAAACCTTTTAGAAAAAAAAAAAAAAAATGAGACCAAGCTTTTCAGCTTCAACCCAAACACATAATCCAGAAGAAAACAAAGTGGATATGTTGGACTTCACCAAAACTAAAACTTTATTTTGTAAAAAGAAAAATAGGAAGAAAAATGAGAAGAAATTACTTGCAACCCTTGTAGTATCTAATAAATATGTAAAAAATATAATCAAAAAATGATTTTTTATTTTATTTTTTTATTATTAGTTACATTTTATTAACTCTGTATCCCAGCTGTATCCCACTCCCTCATTTCCTCCCAAACCCTCCCTCCCTCATCTCCTCCCTGTCCCTTTCCAAGTCCACTGATTGGAGAGGACCTCCTCCTCTTCCATCTGACCCTGTTTTATCAGGTATCTTCAGGGCTGGCTGCAAAGTCCTCCTCTGTGGCCTAACAGACTGCTCCTCCCCTGGGGGGGGGGGGGTGTCAAACAGCCTGCCCTTGAGATCCTGTTAGAAATAGTCCGTGTTCCCCTTACTTTGGAAAACTACTTGGTTACTGAGCTACCACGGGCCACATCCGAGCAGAAGTTCTAGGTTATATCCATACATGGTCCTTGGTGGAGTGTCAGTCTCAGAAAAGACCCTGTGCCCAGATATTTGGTCCTTGTGGAGCTCCTATCCTTTCCACGTCATTCTAATTCCCTCTTCATTCATATGATTCCCTGCACTCTGCCGAAGGTTTGGTGATGAGTCTTAGTATCTGCTTTGGTACACTGCTAGGTAGAGTCTTTCAGGGGCCTTCTGCGGTAGGCTCCTGTCCTGTTAATTGTTTTCTCCTATGTCCAATGCACCTCCCATTTGTCTTTCTAAGTGAGGATCAATCATCTTACCCCGGGTCCTCTTTCTTGTTTATCTTCTTTAGGTGTATAGATTTCATTATGTTTATCATATCTAATAGGACTATATGAGTGAGTATATACCATGTGTGTCTTTCTGCTTTTGGGATACCTCACTCAGGATGATTGTTTCTAGGTCCCACCATTTGCCTGCAAATTTCATGATTTCCTCATTTTTGATTGCTGAGTAGTATTCCATTGTGTAAAAATACCACAATTTCTGTATCCATTCCTCCGTTGAGGGACATCTGGGTTGTTTCCAAGTTCTGGATATTACAAAGAAAGAGATGCTCAACATCCTTAGCCATCAGGGAGATGCAAATCAAAACCACCCTGAGATTTCACCTTACACCCATCAGAATGGCTAAGATCAATAACACTAGTGACAACACATGCTGGAGAGGTTGTGGAGAAAGGAAACCCTCCTCCATTGCTGGTGGGAATGTCAACTGCTACAAACACTTTGGAAGTCAATCTGGCGCTTTCTCAGACAATTAGGAACAATGCTTCCTCAAGATCCAGCTATACCACTCCTAGGCATATACCCAAAATTTGCTCAAGTACACAACAAGGACATTTGCTCAATCATGTTTGTAGCAGCTTTATTTGTAATAGCCAGAACCTGGAAAAAAATATGATTTGAAAGCAATATGATTTGAAAAAAATCATGTTTTTCACCAAAGAGGATATATAGATGGCAGGTAATATGAAAATATGTTGAACTTGATAGATTATCAAGGAATGTAAATTAAAACTAGAGTGTGATCTGGCATATACTTGGCAGGATTGCTAAAGAGATAATAGTGATAATACCAAATACTATTAAGGATACAAACTATATTTCTCATATGCTAATGACAGGAACGTAAAATATAGATACTCTGTGGAAGAATTTGAAAATATTTTATAAAGTTAAATACACACTTAACGTTTGACCCAGCAGTTGAGCTGACTGTCTTGGTACAAAAATTTTTTCTAGGTTTTTAATGGAATTTTTTATTTATTACAATTTTTTCACTTTGTATCCCAGCTGTAGCCCCCATCCTCGGCCCATCCCAATCCCATCCTTCCTCCCTCTTTTTCTCCCATGCCCCTTCCCTAGTCCACTGTTAGGGGAGTTCCTCCCCCATTTCCATCTGACCCTAGCCTATAAGGCCTCATTAGGACTGTCTTTCATAGTCTTTCTCTGTGGCCTGGTAAGGCTGCCCCCCACCTCAGGGGGAGGTGATCAAAGAGCCAGCCATTGAGTTCATGTCAAAGAAGTCCCTGTTCCCATTACTATGGAACCCATTTGGAGACTGAGCTGCCATGGGCTACATCTGTGCAGGGGTTCTAGGTTATCTCCATGAATGGTCCATGGTTGGCGTATCAGTTTCAGAAAAGACCCCTGAATTCGAGATTTCTTGCTTCTGTTATTCTCCTTGTGGAGCTCTAGACCCTTCCAGATCTTTCTATCTCCCCCTTTATTATAAGCTTCCCTGCACTCTGCCCAAAGTTTTATTTTATTGCTCTACTTAGTGAAAAGGGAGAAATTGTTAGCACATGAAGGTGTTTCTGCTTACTAAAGATGGATTCAGAGGTTGGAGACAGTGCGCTCCTCTGTAACTTAGTAAGCAACAAAGCTTTGAAATCATAGATGACAGGAAATGCCTCTACATGTAGAGAAGCACCCAGAAGATTGGACTTCCATACCAAAATATTTTCCTTCTCTCAAGATTTTAAGTGTGAAGTTCTCATAAAATCTTACTTTTGTTAGTATTTTGGCCATAATTCTTACCATTTTACAACAAATTGATGCCTAAATCATAATTTCAAAAACTTTTATGAAATATTTAATAGCAGCTTTGTTTGTTTAAGATAGCCTCAGATGACAATCAACCCAAATATTCTGCAATGAGAAAATAGTTAAACCTTCCAACCATGGAACACTACTCTGTAGTGGAACTTAGATGAGCTTTGGAATATATGAGAGTGAAAAAAAAAGATAGAATTTAAAGGTTACTTTCTGTACAGCTGCATTTCTAAAGCATCATTGAAATGTCAGAACTAGGTTGAACAAATAACATACAAATGATTTCTAGGGCTTGGAACTGCAGAATGTTTAGCATATGTATTACTATTATGTATTACATTGTGGCATAGATTTATTTAGGCTGATGAAATAGTCTTATATCTTGCTTGCAGTGTTTAGTGCATAAAACTATTTCTGTGCTAATATTTTATAGATATGTATTCACGAAAATTAATTCATGTAAGATTTAGTGGCAGTGACTATTACAGCATCACTGCAATGTTTGCTTTTGAAGTTGGACAGTTGTAGGAGAAACTGACTAAAGGGGATATAGGATATTTATACTAGGTTCATAATTTCTGTGATGTCTATAATTATCACAAGATAAAAATATAAAAATTTTTTAAAGTGCTAGGATAAAGCATTTTAATTAATATTGCCTCCAGAATCTTTCAGACTACTTGAGTCTTGTTCTGCCAGTGTTTATGGCACATGCTGACACAGGAAAGGTTCAGACAGCAAATGGGATGCATTACCTTTGCTTAGGTTCCCCTGAAACAACTCGTGAGGTGGACCATTGCTGAGGAAACAACCATCTCCAGCATCCTCAGGCTAACAGCAGTTTATCCTGGCAGATTAATGTGAGATGCCATAAAAATCTAAGAAAACTCTCACTTCACACACACAAAAGTGTGAAAATACATATTGTAAAAGAATGTTGAGTGTTCAGTCTGTCTATCGGCAGGTTTTTAAAGCTGTGTAATAGGAGCTCTACATCACTCAATATTGTCAGATAGCAGTCATCCACATAGGACAGCTAGGGACAAAAGTATGAACTTAGTAACAAAATTTACCAGTTTTGTATATAAATTGTTCAGGGAACTGACAAGCCTAGGGAATTCACACATTTCCTAGGAATTTTATTTCTTGTTATGCTTTCTGGATTCTGTGATGCAGCTATGTAGATAACCATTCTCTTCGAGGATACTTCTTTTTTTAACTTTTATTAGTTACACTTTATTCACTTTGTATCCCCCCCATTAGCCCCTCCCTCCTCCCTTCCTAATCCCACCTTTCCTCCCCCTTCTTCACCCATGCCCCTCCCCAAGTCCACTGATAGGGGAGGTCCCCCTCTGCTTCCTTCTGATCTTAGTCTATCAAATTTTATCAGGATACTTCTTACAGGAACTCAAAGAGCATAGCAATTTCTGTGGCACAGTGGCTCTCAACTTTCCTAATGTCACAACCCTTTGACAGCAATTTCTCATGTTGGGATGACCTCCAACCATAAAATTATTTTCATTGCTACTTCTTAAGTGTAATTTTGCTAGTCATGACTTGTAATATAAACATCTGTTGTTGTTGTTGATGATGGTGGTGGTCTTAGGTGACTCCTATGAAAGGATCATCTGATCTCCCCCTCCCTGCCAAAGGGTAGAGACATCTGTGTTTGGAATCCTGGCTCAGCAACGCAAACATGTTCTCTAGTCTGTATGCTCTGGGCATTTCACAACATACATACTTAGATAAGATTTTTATTGGCCTGATTATACTTTTATTTTAGATGCATATTATGTTCTAATGAGAGAAAGGAAGGGTATTGATTTGGGTGGATAGGTAGGAAGATGGAAAGGATCTGGGAAGATTTAGGGAGGAGAAATTGTAATCAGAATATATTGCATGAAAAAAATCTCTTTTCAATTAAAAACTATTTAAAAAATGTCTCAGTCAGCTAAAGGTACTTGCTTCTAAGCCTGAAATCCTGAGTTAAA